CCAAAAGGTGGGTGTGGATAGGAACTATCAAAAGTCATTAGCTCAGACTAATCTTGGCTCAAAACCTCTTCTTCTTGAGACGGACACTCTCCAAGACTCCTCAAAACTCTCCTCTTGAGTTTGATTTTCCGGCAGTTTTATCTTCAAGTAACTTTGTCGATCTGCTGTGGACAGGAAAACCTCCAGCTCACTCCTAAAGAACTCAAGAACCTCCGTTGTCTACCGCATCAGGACTCTTGTTCAGCAACGAAGCCAATGCAAGTAACCGTTTACAACCATTTAGATGCGTGTTTAAGTTTGAGCCCCTTTTAAGGTGATTTTTGATTCTTTGATGATTCTCATTAGGTTGTGGTTAATTGATGTGAAATACCGCCATTCTTTTGTTCTTCTCTCTCTTTCCTTACTTTCCTTCATTCTGTATATATGTGTTTTGCTTAGTTTAGTTGTACGTTAGCTATAGTTTCATTTATTAAATCCCTTATATTCACAATTGATTGTCTCTGTGTGCTGCTCACAATTTGGAGTCACTGAATGTTGAATTCTTGCTACATGCTAAATTACTGGTAGTACTGCATAAAGTAGCAAAGCTATTGTTCCTTGGCCAGGAAAATAATCTTTCCTTGAATTGATAAATTATTATATTTTCTGCTCAGTGGATGGACAGATCAAATAATTGTAATATTGATTCTGCTACAGTTAATTGTAAGATCTAATCTAAATATTTATTATTAATTATAACCAGTTATAATTAATTATAAATATTTCCCTTTTGATCTAATTTGCTACAGAAGTTTCTAAGCACTTAAAAGCAGTGTTTATTGAAGGTTATAAATAATTAAAGATTCTGCACAAAATGTATTTGGTTAAATAATTTTATACATGAATGTTTAGATTTGATTTTATTCCCATTTTTCATAAATACTTATTCAGAATCACTTAAATGTATATTAATAAACTTTTGGTCAGAAGTCCTGGTTATGGGCATTATGTGGCCATTTCAATGCAGAATTAAGTCAAAGTTAAGTTGCAATCAAAATTAGTAGGGAGCTGTAATCAGGGGCGACGTAACGGGGGGGAAGGTTAGGACCATTCCATGGGCCCGACGCGATTCTACCAAGGGTTAATGCTGGTCAATGCATTGTTGGTAGCATCTTATATGTTGTTGCTGAAAGTAAAACTAATGTCTTTGTTTACAACCTTATTTCATTCCCTTTCAATATAAAAGTCTTTGCTACTGACTCATAAAGACAACCTCTTGTCACATCTAATGTCGGAACAATGTAACTAAAATCACCATCATTTAAAACATAGAATATTAAAATCACCAACAATTGGGACTTTATCTGCAGCCAGCACTAATTCAGATAGAAAATCAGCAAATTTTTGATCAAATCTGCATGGTGCCCTGGTGGCCTGTATACATTAGCCAGTAAAAATGTCAAGAGGGATTTTTCATTGGCACTTATTACACTAGATGATGTTATATAAAGCAACATTATTTAATGAAATTATACTTCAAACCAGACCTCTGAAAAAAACTGAAAATATTACTATAATTTGTAGCAACACCTCCCATTTCATCTTTTCGAATGCAGCTCATGTTTATAACAGTAATCTTATGGGGGAAGACTCACTTAACTTCCTGGGGTCGGCAAAGGCGCCGGCGGGAGCACTTGCCTTTTTTTCTGATAACTGCAAAAAGAACTTTAAATTCTCCATGATTTTTTAACGCACACAAGCGTAATACATAATTTGAATATGTAAAGGGTCTACTTTTGTGTACGCTCACAATATCATCAAAACATTGTGCTTTTTTTGGGGGGGGGGTGAGTCAAATGTATGAAATATTATGTTAATTTAAACAATTACTATTAAACAATTATATTCATTTAGTGACATATAAATATATCTTAGTGTAGGCTATATCTTTAGGTTCTTATAATTCATTATCTTCTTGTCAAGCCAGCAGTTCACATTTACAACTGCATGTTTTCTGCGTAAAAATAAGGGTCGATTTTGGCTTTGGTCTAAACAAAAAGAGCAGCAGGTGGTGCCTTCGGAAAAGCAGAAATATAGCCATTTCCCTGGTAACTGCAGTAAACAAAGCAGTTTGAAACTTGCAGCGCTGACCTGACTTTGAAACTTGCAGCGCTCATATTTAATCAATCTTATTTTTATGCAGAAAACAAGCAGTTGTAAATGTGAACTGGTGGCTCGACAAGAAGATAATGAATTATAAGAACCTAAAGATATATCCTACAGCAGTGTTACTCATTGCGCGGCTCGTGAGCCTCCTGCAGCTCGCCAAGCTTTAATGTGTGTCTCGCATGGCAGTAAATAACACGATGATACGATCATGCAGTCAAACAAAGCAGTTTGAAACTTGCAGCGCTGACCTGACTTTGAAACTTGCAGCGCTCATATTTAATCAATTAAATAGCCTTTTGAAGTGTAAGCTATATCTCATTATACATGTAAATATACATTTACATGTATATTTAGTTTTTTTCACTGGAGCACCACCTGAGTCTTCTCCTCCCATTTCTACCAGTGATCATTGTTTCCTTCCCGCGGTACTCCCTGCGCACATATCAATAGCATCACTGGGCTGTAGGTTGCCAAGTTGAGGGGACAAATGGGTTGAAATTTGTATGCGTCGGATCGTTTGAGAAAGATGCGTTTCATACAAGATCTGGCAACTGGACAACCTTGGAATTCGTTGTCGTGTTTATTCATATAATGAGGTTTGGCCCATACAAATTACGGGAGTTTTACCAGAAGCGAATGTAGCAAACATATAAAATACGCCCAGTGGGATTTTTTTTATAGAAAGATTAAGAATCCGGGAGAAATACGGGAAAATATTTAAACGGGATGATAGCGGGATAGAATGGTAAAATACAGGAGAATCCCGGGAAAAACGGGAGGGTCGACAGGTAGCCTATCCCTTAGAAATGTGTGTATCAACTATGATAGAGTAGGCTATAGGGTTAAGAAATATTCACACATTTTCATGGACAATCGTTCTCATTCTTCTCCCATTTATTCTGCTTGTATGAACAGAAATATCAGTCTAGCAAGCCAGATCTCAGAGACAGGCGTAACGCGACGTCATTCACACTTAGTATGCTCTAATTCCTCTATTAGCCTTCATCCTCGAAGAAAGGCAGAGATGAGAACGCTTTATAATGTTGTGAATTACACGAAAACCAGATTTGTACAGTTTCTGCCAGAAGGTCAGGGTGTTGCTTTATGTGGTGTTGTGAAATGCAGTTGCTAGGGTATTCTGGCTGGTTGCTATGCCATTGCTTTGCTACGGTAGGTGGTTGCTAGGGTACTTATCCACACCAATGATATTCTGCTCTCTAAATATGAGAGTGTGGATTTGATCAGATCACTGAGCAGCAGTAACAGTGTTGATTGCCTTAGCAAACGAATTATGCTACCACTAATTAAATGTCTGAAGAGAAGAAATTCTCTTTTCATTCAGTTTTTATTTCAAGTGGGTTTTGAGAGCTTGGTTTAAAATCACCTGCATGTATGAATTAAATGGAAAGCTGTTACAGGCAGAGCAGATTTCTTCATAGACTTTGCCACCCTGTATGTGTGTGTGTGTGTGTGTGTGTGTTTAAAGAATCCTGTGCCAGTCACACACTCTGCGGGAAAGCAGGAAATGTGTGGGAGTGTTTTTGCCTTGACCCTCCTCTCTCTCTCGCTCGCTCATATGGTTCCTCTCATTTTAAACTTCTTCACTATTGCTCATTTGCCTGTGTCCAGATCTATCAAGCTCAAGGCCATAAGCATGTCTTGGAAATTAGATGGGGATGATCTTTTTATTTAAAGGATTAAAAGAGATTTAAGGCAATAATAAAATATATAAGAACAGTAAAAAAAATTCTGTCATTCACAATTCTTTATTTTGAAAAATAATGTAAAATATGTACACATTCACTCTTATTTGTATGTATGGAAGCCCGTTTCCGCCATTAAATAAAAAATAAAACAAGGTAATTGCGACTTTTTATCTCACAATTCTGACTTTCTTCTCACAATTGTGAGTTCATATCATATCATTCTGACTTTTTTTTCTCAGAATTGCGAGTTATAAAGTCAAAATTGCGTGTGATAAGGTCAGAATTGCAAGATATGAACTCGCAATTCTGAGAAAAAAAGTCAGAATTGTGAGATAAAAAGCCGCAATTACCTTGTTTTATTTTTTATTCAGTGGCGGAAACGGGCTTCCATATGTATGACTAATATGTCAAAAGCACAAAATGTTTCTTGTCTCATCATAATCAGTTAGCCACTTAAATTATAGCATATTTTCAATTCAAAACTCCAAAATTAGCAGTTTGCAGCACTGGATATTACTGTCACTGGTTATCATTTGTATGGTAAAACAGTTGTCGGATATTAAACGTTAATCTACTTGCGTCTTACCTACTCTTTAGTTAACGTTAAAACTGAAGTTTTGCATTGGAATTCGCACTTGTCTTCTCTGAACAGTAAAGCCTGCCTCCTTCTTGATGAACCTTCTCAAAACATGAAACCAGTTTAAGCTGGTTTGCAGCTCTCATTGCCCATGCAGACTTGGTGGCTGGCTGAATTTAGATGTGTTCTAGGTATTTTAAAAAAAAAACGACATAGTAAAACATAACCAACTAAACCATCTTTCCAGCAGCTTTCTAATTTTTAACACAAACTTTAATTTGAGATTGAACGATAATTGGCGGAGTGTTTTTCCAGCACATGGCAGCATTGTGACAGTTTATCACTGAGCAACTCAAAAAAACAGCTCATTTATTCATGTGCAGTCATTCCTCACTTTAATGCTTTAGAGTGAACTAAAAATGTGTGATGTTCCCGAACAGTGACATGAGAATCACAAGAATCTGTCTCTTCCTGTTTGAATGTTAATTTCTAGTGAATACAGTCGCCTTTTTTCTTCTTCACATTCTAGTAAAAATCCTCAACCTTAATAAGGGGGTTTTGAATATAGTTGTGCATTGCTTTAAAACGAGTACTGATTATGAAAAATAAATAATACACTTTAAAAGAATATCCAAACTGAATGCACAGTAATATATTCAGACACTTAATTGCATGTTAAATGAAAATGTATTAGTTTAAATTTATATGGAATGCAGTTAGCTGAACTTTAGAGTGTTTTTGACCCACTTATGTAGGACTTAAGTACACTGTTATATGTAAATTCATAATTACTTCTAGTCTTTTAAATATGGTTAAAGTGAATGTACTGACAAGCATTTATGGTAAACTAAAATATACTTAATGCCATTTCTTTTAAAACTCGTAAGGCATGTATTTGTAATGTTGAGGCTGCAATTTAGTACAATAGAGTATATTAACTTTACATGCAATATTGAATAACACACTACAGTTATAATCAAGTGCTTTAATTTGACATTACAAAGTGGACTTTTTAAAAGTGCAAGTTAAGAAATGAAAGTGTCTCTCTTTGAGAGTGATGTTAAGTGATGTTTTATTTGATTAACATTTTATCTGCAAGTAGTTAATATACTTTTAAGATTTGGAGTACACTACATTTTATTACAATTCAGCACACATCTTCTTTTTTTTTGTACTATTGTTTGTGTGTTAAAATGAAGACGTATCAACTTTTAAAAGGGTGGAGAAAACGTTCCCCTATCTTACGTTGTTAATGTGTCTACCATTGGTGCAAATGCAGTTTACATAAATCAGCTCTTTCTCTTTTTCTCTGCAGACATTTGCCAAATTAAACCCCAAACTACAGCCAATGGTTGACTTGATCAAGGCCAATCGTGCCAAATGGGAAGAGCTTCACCACAGACACCAGCGCAGCCAGGAAACCAGCAGCCCTGGCAGTCCACGTAACGCAGACGCCACAGCAACCAGCTGCAGCTGCGCAGGCCCCAGCGACGCGGGCCCTTTTCATTCCGTCAGCTAACTCTGGAGAGACAAACCTGCCAGATTTTGCCACATGCTTCTCTCTGACCCGCAGCAATGCAGATGGAAGGAGTTTTGACCTCTGCTGCACGCTTCAGACCAGCAGTCATTACCTCACTAGCGCCCTCTATCGGGCATTTGCTGTGTCTGCGAGCACTTCAGGCAACCGCGACCGGGTCTGCGTTCGTCTCCACAGTGCAAAGACTGCACGTTTAGCTAGCAACGGAGAACCTTAGGGATGTGTTTACGCCCAGAAGCTAATTGGCTGAATTAGCTACTTTAGGGCTAGCATGCTAACATAAAGACTCTATCGTGCGTGTAAGCTACTTTCAGCAGGGACTGTTTAAGAAGGATTGCCGCTTTTTGAAAGTTATGATGTGTATTTTTTCCTTTGTACCTTTGATCTTGTTGAATGGACACATGTCCTGAGCACTGGAGCTTGGTTCTGTTCTGTGCATATATGTGAAGAAATGACTGCTGCAGGATTTGACTCTGTGTTTTGCCTTTGTTGTTTTAGCTGATGTATTTATTCCAGGATCAGGGGTTTGTGGAGCTCTTTTGTTGGGCTCTTGGCAATGCTTGCAATGCAAATCCACTCCAGCGCTGTCCACCGTGCCTTGGTAAAACCCTATGATAATGCATGCAGCCCATCCTTGACATCACTCTTCTCTCTAGTTCACACTGCATATCATCATGGATTTCCCCTCATGTCTTGGGCCTGTTTCATATCTCGAAGGTAAGCAACGCGTCTTTATTCCAGCGCCTATGATAAAAAATGGTCATTTATTCACACTTTTATTGTTTCAAGTAGGGGTGTGCGATATATATCTTCTACGATAATATCATAATTGTTTAATCGATATGCGATTTGACATTATCAAGTATATTGCAAAAACCTAACAATGAACATGTCCAATAAACAAGAAGCTAATATTAATTGACATGCAGTTTAGTCAACGAAAATAGTTTCAAACAAAACCTCTCTGAAAAACACACGATGGTGTTTCGTTACTGAACTGATCAGCCTTTTGAACGAATCGGTTGAATGAATGATTCAATGACTCACTCATGCAGTGATTTCCCGCTGATTTTAAGTTTATATTTAAAGTATATTTTCCTTTTTTTTCCCAAAATCCTTTTTTTTAACATCAAAACATTAATTATACATTTGTAGCTGCAGGTTAAATGCATTCATGTCCTGCGTTTAAGAGTCTATGTGAATGCATCTAAATGCCACTTCAGATGCAGATTCTGTGCCATCTCTGCATTGAAAATTTAATTTGAGTGGCAACAGCCCTATAGTGTCTTAATATTTGAATTTATTGATTACATTTACGAATTTGACACAAAAGATGATGCATACCTTTAATTAGGTAAAAAAAAAAATTGGCCTTATAAAGGTAAAAATGTTCATAAAAGGTAAAAATCAATTTAAACTTATTGGAAAAGTGAATTTCTGCTTCTCCTACAAAGTAACCACCTCACAGAATATGAAGAGTATCAAAAGTTTTGGGAGTCAGCTGTCCACGACAGTCCTAAACCTGCCAAAATACCAGCACAATAACATGCTCAGCAAAATATTGTCTAATTATCGTTATCAACAAAATTCCAGAAAATATTGAGATTTTTTTTTTCCGTTATCTCACACCCCTAGTATGTATGATGCAAAAAAAAAAAAAAAAATTCTGAAGATTTCCCAAAATCATAGTTAACCAACAATGCTTGCAAGTTCTGCCGTTACCAACATAGTTCAACAGTTTGGTGTTTCCCAAATCTATATTCCAACAAACATTCGCAAACAACTTAGCAAAGTTTTCACTCCGCCTTCTTAACATCATTAACCAAAATTGTCCAAATGATGGATGTGCGACAAAGTTCCTACTTTTTCGGAAAACAGTAAAGAATAATTTGTATCTCCAACAATGCATCGTACTATGGTAGTCAGTGAAATATGCCATCATTCGAGGAAACGCACCACAAGACTCAAAAGGCCTAAACGTACCATAAAAGCCATACAATAGATTTCTAGAGTTTAACTTTAGGTTTTGGTTTCATGTAGTTACTTATTACTTACTTTTTGGCTATAAATGTGATGCCTCTCCTCATGTAAATTACATTTCATGATGATACACTTTGTGATAATTCTCACTGGCCAACTCCTAATAACCATTTCATAAATTATTAAAGAAAACACTTGATGTAGTAACCCAGAAATTCACAGTTGCAGCTTTGTAACGTTTATTTAGAAAAAAACAACAACAAAACCTAACTTAGGGGGCCGTTCACACAAAATGCGTTTTTCCATTCCAATGTGCTATTTTTCCAGTTTTTCTATATAAACGCGCTAGCTGGATGTGTATGACCGTTGCGCTCGCGTCTCCGTGTTTTTGAGATGCCATGTCAAGTTAAAAAAAATTTAAACTTTTACACGCATTTCCATCATTTCCAAAACAGTGGACCAATCAGAAGTCCCCGTAGTCAGGGCAAGCATTGCAAGCTTTTGTTTACAGTAGCAAGTTGGCATGGAAGCTGTTTTTCTGTGACAGCAACATAGCAGAGGAAGCACTGATAGTGGCTGTGCGTGGATACATTTTTTTCAAGCAATTATCACAACCTGTTTCTTTACAAAAGGAGCCTGATATTCTATTCTGCTGTTTGGCTGTTTTCTGTTATTGCATCCCGTCTCGAGACCCTTGCCTTTTAAAACCATTCCTGAGCGTTGTGTCTCGCGTTTTTAGACGCAAAGATGTGTTGTGTGTGAACGGCCCCTTAGGCTGGAGTGAAACCACATGAATGGTTTTAACCACATGAAGCAGCATCCAAAATCACATACTTCCCTGCTATATAGTAGGCCAAAAACAGAATGTGAAAAGAGTAGTATGTCCAAATTCACAGTATTCATAAAACATTAGTTGAAAAGCACCCGGATGACCTTCTACTTGCGGCGAGATTCTTAAGTGCACATCCAATGGACACATACTGATGCTGTTAGGTTACATGATGAATGTAGTACGTACATATTAAAGTCATAATACACACATAACATACCATTTTAAAGTAATTACTTAGAAGTAGTACTTACTTGGAGAGTATGTGATTTGGGACGCAGGTATTACCTCAAACCCAACATCCCTCATTCCAGAACTCCACAGAACACCTGGCAGGTTTACACAGAAGTTCTACACACCTTCTGCATGTTTGATTAATTATTAAATAGTTTGAATAATTTGGTCATGCCACTACAGAAGTGCATTACTCTCCTCCACAGATTGTCTTATGAAATTAGTGTAGAATATGTGGGGGGAAATGTCTGCAGGTTCTATTTGGGCCTATTTCTAACTTCAGACTGCTTTTGTCAGCCACCTTTTTTTCCCGTAATTGTCAGTCTAATCGGAGACATGTATGTGCCTTTACTAATTAAAAATCTACTTCAGTGCACACAAGCATCAAAACAGAATCTTTGCATCCTGAAGTGGACTCTGGTTTGATACGTGACTGCACTTTGATCAGCGTGTTGTGGTTTGAAAGCCTCTGTGTGCTAAAAGGAAATGAACAAAGATAAAACGTCAACTGATAAAGAGTAAAATGTAATTGCATGAAGAAGTGTCTGCTTCAGAGATGAACGGTTACCTGTAATGAGAGTCATTTGTAATTCATTATTCAGTACTTGCATGGAAGCAGCTGTTGCATCGCAGCGGGGATGAATATTTTCATATTGTGCAACTGCATTATTCAGAATGTTTTACATTATTCCCAATGATTTCTTGGGGGATTGGTTCTTGTTGTTACCACTGTTCGATTTTTCTCGGAGGCATTGTGTAAGTGATGAGGCTCTTTTGAATTGTCTTGTTCTCTTGGTTCAACTCTCCTTTTGTCTGGCAGAGATTTCTTGAGAATCCTGAAGCATGATTTCTGAAAGTGTAAACTGTCCGATTCAAATAAACGTGCTGTTAGTTTATTGTGCATACTTTGAAAAACATTGGTATTAATATATAAACCTGTAAAAACAGAACTAACATGAGCTCCTAGTATAACTTAAAGAGGGAATATACCACTTTTTTAGTGTTGAAGCATGCAAAATAATAATAATTATATATATATATATATATATTGCATTCTTCAACACTAAAAAAAAAGTGGCATAGAATACTTTCACTCAGAAATTGCTATTAAACAAGAAATTTGAAGTAGAACGACTGGAACTGTATTTTATTGTAAAACTTACCTTAACAATAATCTTTGTTTTATTTACAACTTTTTACAGTGAGTGTTTGAGCTTTTAGTTCTTGCTTCGAATCAACATTTGTAATGTTGAGATTGATCTTGCAGCTGGTTGGTTTGGTTCATAACAATCTCTGGTGAAACTGAATGAGGCATGTATTGTGGCTGCGGAGGTGGCGATGAAACTGCTCATTTTAGACATCTCACTAACCTGACACACATAATTCAGGCCATGAAGCACAAATGAGTTCAGTTCATTAGTCAGGTGTGATCAGCTGGGTTACATAAGCAGCAACAGAGGGGCTCCTAGGAGCAGCATTGTATTCAAATCCAGACAGATGCCACTCAACAGTGACACCGTGTGGTGAGATGCTTTTGTGCACATTACACAATGATTCGCATTTTTACAGAAACTAGATTTACTAAATATTTTCAAATGTACCTTAAATTTCAGATTTCCAGAAGTTTAAAGAACTGAATGTTCTTCAGGTAATAAACTCGTTTTTAACCAATGATTGACTTTTACAGTCATCAGTGTTGCACTAAGCAGCCAATCATCATTCTTGTGTAAGTAAAAGAAAGATATCTTTATGGAAGTTGACTTTTAAAGTATCTCATTAGAAACAAAAAAAAATACTTCTGTAGTTTTAATATTAGTTAAGTACTTTTACATAGCCTAAGTGTACTAGTACATTTTAATAATGGCACAGAGTTGATGGACGGCAACATAGCAGACTAGAGTTCCCCCAAAAATGAAAATCTGTCATCTTTTACACACCTTCATGCTGTTAAAAATTCTCTTCTGCATAATACAATTTAATTTAGTTAATATTTTATAGTACCTTTGCACGCTGCTACTCATTACTTTAGTAAAACTATATGTATATGTCATCTTAACCTGGAACTAAATTACCATTTACTAATTATTGAAAATGTAATGTGTGTGTTCTACTGAGTGTTCATGCAGTCATTAATGTAAAATACATGCATTTTACAATTTAGTTGACTAATTGAATAAGCAATTGACAAACAAAGCAAAATCCCAGTAAAAGAGATTAATCTCAAAGGTGATATTATTCTGACTTATATGCAAACATATGAATATTTACATATTCAATTGCCCATATTTTAATTGAAGATATAATAGCCATAATAATAACTATAATATAATAGTCATAATAGCAACAATATAAATGCAAATGTAATGATTTCACGCAATTAGCTGAAATGACTAAATTAAATATAGTGCAGCCGTTTACATTGAAGTGCTGAGATGAGATTTTGTGCCAGCAGCATGGTACAGTGATGGAATTAGATGGTAATAACATGCTCATTTGTTGTAGGCTATGTGATGTATAATGTGAAGTGTGGAGTGTGTTTGTCTTCACACAGTAATACATATGGTGCAGGCGTTGCTCAGCAGAATAGCGATTCGAATCAATGAATCATTCAGAACTCTTTGACATTGAAAGGAACCGAATTGATCAAAAGATTCAATAGATAATGAATCTCACCATGACCGACCCGCAAAGCTGCTCTTGCTGTTGTTTTATTGTGCTTTATGGTAACAACTTCGCTTTGATAACTAAACTGATAACGTCGAAAGGTTTGTGTACATACAGTACCTGCAAGTGAATCATCTTGAGTGTTTTGTCTTTCTCGCTCCTCAGCGCCAGACTGCAGTCGTCTCTCCCCGAGAGCTGTTTTTCCATCAGCCGAGATCAGGTGCAACACGAGGCGGAGTGGATGCGAGGGTGCTCTGCTCTTAGCGCGTTGATCAAAAAAATCCGTATTTTAATATTACACATTTTAAGTGTAACAATTTGTTGTGGTTCATATAAAAACTACAACGGAACGTTTTTTTTTTTAGTGACTGGTGCTCCATTAGTGCCCTACGCAAACTGCGTACTCTACGGCGGAACTGGACGCAAATCCAACAAAAGAAATTTATCGAAGCAAAAATATTAACTATCTTTTTTTTTTAAATGTAACAACTTTTTAAAAATAACCCCCGTGTTATGCCGTGTCCCAGCCGGAGCGACGAGACAAAAACATTAAAACCGCGGCTTGTGTACTGCATCATCCCTGTGTCTGTCATGTGACTCTGTTGCCCTTTCGGGCTTGAACTGATAGCGCTGTCTGTCTGTGTTCTCTCTTCCATGATTGCTGCTCTGACTCAGAGTCAGAGGTAATAACATTTCATTTCAGCAACATTACATGGCCAAAACACACATTAGACGGCAATCGGAAGTTATTACAAACACTCGATGGTGGTTT